TGCTAAGTTTGATTAGAAATGTAGAGTACAAGAGCCAGGGTATACCTCCTTTTTTGCCCATCCTCTATAATAAAAGGCTAATATGCAAATCAACTGAATGGTGGAATGACCAGTCGCTATGATGCTCACTGACCACCAGGGGGCAGATGCTCAATGCAGGAGCTTCCCCCTGGTGGTCAGTGCACTCCAGAAGCGGGGCTCACAGCTGGTGAGCACAGCGGCGGTGGTGGTGGGAGTCTCTCCAGCCTCCTTGGCAGCGCTAAGGACCCCTTGGGGGATGTCCACCTAAGCCGGCAGAGGGACATACCCCAAGGGGTACTGGACTGCGAGAGGGCACAGGCTGGGCTGAGGGGATTCCCCCGCCCTCTCCCCGCCCCGTGCATGAATGTGGTCCACCAGGCCTCTCGTTTAGTATAAAATGTATTGGAACCCTGTCATAAGTAAAATAATACTCATTATCTGCTACACCAGAGATTTTAATCAGGGTGGGGAGATAGATGCAATACAATAGACTTTTCAAAGTTTCAAGTTTGAGAACTCAGACATAATTATTAGGTACTTAATAAGTTTTTAACAATTTGTCAACCCTAGAGAGATGTCACATAATTAATTAAGAGTTTAATAATAGTGTATGGCCTTGCCAGCATGGCTCAGTGGTTGAGCATCAACCTATGAACCAGGAGGTCACGATTCAATTCCAGGTCAGGGCACATGCCTAGGTTGTGGGCTCAGTCCTCGGTAGAGGGGTGTGCAGAAGGCAGCCGATCAATGATTCTCTCTCATCATTGTTTCTATTTCTCTCTGCCTCTCCCTTCCTCTCTGAAATCAATAAAAATACATTTAAAAAAAATAATAGTGTATGTGCATATATATGTACAGTGGGGCCTTGACTTACGAGTGTCCCGACTAACGAGTTTTTCGAGATACGAGCCGTCTGAGTTGCGAGCTAAAATTCAGGTTACGAGCCAGCTTCAGATACCCCACCACTAGTTGGCGCAGTGAACGTCACAGTGAACGCCACAACATCAGCCCAGCATCACGTGTCTCACTCGTTCACTTTTTGATTTGACATACGAGTACTTTGAGTTACGAGCTCCATCACGGAACGAATTAAACTCGTAAGTCAAGGCCCCACTGTACTTACCATTATCCTCATTATTCACAAATTCCATTGTTTGTGAATTTTCTTGCTCCCTAAAATTTATTTGTAACTCCAAAATCAATGCTTACCATGTTTTAGTCATTCACAGATATGCACAAAACACTGAAAAATTTGAGTTGCCTGAAATTTAAGTTTCCTGTTGCACGCGTTCCCAGCTGAAGTTGAACAAAGCAATGCTTTGCCTTCTTCTTTTAGTGCATACCGTAAACAAGTTCTTTCAACAGTCTATTTAGTACCTTTTAAAAATATTTTATACTTTTTGTTGGTGGTTTTGCTATTTAAAATGCCCTCAAGCATAGTGCTAAAGTGCTGTCTAGTTTTCCTAAGCACAAGAAGGCTGATGTGCCTTACAGAGAAAATGTATGCATTAGATATGTTTATTTCAGGAACAAGTCACAGTGCTTTTGGCCCTGAATTAAATGTTATGGATCAGCAAAATATATTGAATAATGTGTCTTTAAACAAAGAACACACATAAAACAAATTTATGTGTTGAGCGGTTGATGAAAATACTTTTCCCAGAGACTCACAGGAACTTAACCCTGTATTTCCCTCAGGAGCAATGCTTCAGTATTCAATTCAGTGTTCATGGCAACTTTCCAGAACATTAACTACTACAGATAATAAGAATCAAGTATTTATTTGTTTATATTTAAAAGTCAACTCTGAGTGTGACCTGGGTCTGAGGATAATCTGTGCAGGTGCAAAGACATTTGTTTTTTGTCCTTCCCATCCATGGAATGTGGCAGATGGGAAGTGGGATATGATGGTTAAAACCTGGTGCTTCCCCAGTCCAGACTTGGGTTGGAATCCCGCTTGCCTGCTTACTGTTCTGTGTCTCTGGCATGTGGTTTAACCTCCCTATATTGTGCTTTCATTGGTGAAATAGGGGAAGTATCAGTCCTCACCTCATAGAGGTTCAAGCACAAATACTGGCATGCGTAAGACATTTAACCAGTGCATGACACAGACTAAATGTTCAATGAAGGTTTGCTTCTGTGATCACTCAGAATTGATTATTTGTAAAGTCCTTCTAGGGAAACTATATTCAGAATCTACAGTGTGCTCTGTACTGTGGGAGCTGTTTTGCCATCATTGTTTCACTTAATTCTCACAATATGTGCCAACTTATAGGAGTCAAATGGTGAATGATAAATATGAACCTCGGCTCATGTTAAACCCTACTGTTGAGGAAGGGGCACAGAGGAGGCTTAATTGAATCACTGTTTTCTTTCTTAAGGCTGGGTGATGGGTACCCAGGTATTTGTTACATTAGTCTCTACCTTTTTCTTGTCAGTATATTTTATTGAAGATGCTTCCAAGAGCAACGCATGTTTATTTCAGCAAATTAAAAGTACAACAAGCAAAAATCCTTACACCTACCCTCCAGAAGTATTCGCTGTTAACTTTTTGGACTGTGCATATATTCTTTTTTAAAACAAAATCAAGATCATGTGCTACATACCTGTAACTGGATGTTCACTGCCTGTGCTCTTCCATGTATTGTATAGGCTCTCTTGCATTTCACTGTGGAGTGCACCATATATATTTAGCCAGTAGCTTCTTATGGATGTTTAGATTGCTCCCCACTTAATTATAAATATGCTGTAACGAGCACCATTCTATATCTCCACTTGTGCACGTTAGCATTTCTGTTGGATGTCAGCATTAGGATTCGTGCTGCATGGTTAAGAATTAAAGTATATCATGGAAATGTCCTCAGGAGTAGCGCTCCTGTCAACACCTGAGTACATGCCCACTCTCTATGACTCAGCAGCTCTGGATTCTCTAAATTTGTGACAGTCTGAGGCAAAACCAAGTATTTCGGTCTTTTAATATGCATGCCTTTGATCATTACTGAGATGATGTGCTTTTCACATTGTTACTGGTTAAATGCATTTCTCCACTCGTGTATTGCCTGTTCTCATCCTTTGTGCATTTTTACATTTGTTTCTCACTGATTTATCCAGGAATTCCTTTGGATACTACTTTTTAAACATGTATATATAGTGCTTTATAATTTATAAAGCACTTTTCATATGTATAATCCTATCTAATAAAAGAGTAATATGCAAATTAACCCTTGCTCTGTCACAAAGATGGTGGCAGCCACGGAGCTGGAGCGAGCAGAAGGCTTGGGTTGCCCCCGGCGATGGAGGAAGCCAAGCTTCCCTCCTGCCCTGGCTCTGGGCTCCGCTCAAGGCTACAAAGTTTCAATTATAGAAGATAAATAAATCCCAGATACCTGCTTCCATCCTGCAGCCCTGGCCAGCCTGAAAATGGCCCTCAGCCCCTCACCCAAGCTGGCCAGGCACCCCAGTAGGGACCTCCACCCTAAAGGAGGTGTGACCAGCCTGTAAACAGCCATCAGTCCCTCACCCAGGGTGGCCAGGCACCCCAGTGGGGACCCCCAACCTGAAGAGGGTGTGGCCAGCCTGAAAAGGGCCTTCAGCCCCTCAGCCAGGCTGACCAGGCACCCCAGCGGGACCCCCACCCTGATCCGGGACACCCTTCAGGGCAAACCAGCCAGCCCCCACCCATGCACCAGGCCTCTATCCTATATAATAAAAGGGTAATATGCAAATTGACCCTAACAGCAGAACAACTGGGAATGACTGGTCACTATGACACACACTGACCACCAGGGGGCATATGCTCAATGCAGGAGCTGCACCCTGGTGGTCAGTGTGCTCCCACAGGGGGAGCTTTGCTCAGCCACAAGCAAGGCTGATGGCTGCCAGCACAGTGGTGATGGCAGGAGCCTCTCTGGCCTCCTCAGCAGCGCTAAGGATGTCCGACTGCAGTTTAGGCCTGCTCCCCGCTGGCAAGTGGACATCCCCCGAGGGCTCTCGGGCTGCCAGAGGGATGTCTGACTGCCAGCTTAGGCCTGATCCCCCGGGTAGCGGGCCTAAGCCAGTAGGTGGTCATACCTGTGAGAGGGCACATGCTGGGCTGGGAAACCCCCCCTCCCCCGCCCAGTGCACAAATTTTTGTGCACCGGGCCTCTATGTGAGAGTCCACGGCCAGCGTGGCTTTCGTGGGTTCAAAGACTTGGAGGGAGGGCTGACGTGCAAATTGTACACAAGACGGAATATTAATTTTTATAATTACCGGGGGAACCAGAGAATAACTTAACTAAAGAAGTCGAGTTCTCCCTGTTGCTCCTTTCCCAGCTGCTTTTATTAGCTAGGATACACAATTGCCTTTAGGAATGCAAACAGACATATCAATGGTAATGTTTAGCAAACAGTAAGTTTGCCAGGTGTTGTGGGAGTTTGCTTTAGGCTATTGAGTCAGCAGCAGGCAATAAAATGTAGATATTCGCCCTATGAATATCAAAAGGAGTCCTAGTCAGCCTTCTGCCAGACTCCTCACATTTATATCAATTACTGTTGATCTTGGTCTCCAGCACCTCTAGTATCCTATAATCCCATTTTGAGTTTCTCTCTGTGGCCTCATGTCAGCCTGAAGAAATTCCGACTTGCCCACCTCCAAAACCCCTTAGCCTTCTGCTAATGAGAGACCCAGTCTGGACTCCTGCCAGATGGCAGACCCTAAGTCTCACTGCAGTTTACACTGCCCATCTTCCAAATCCAGCAGTATGTTGGGAAGGTTCTATTTTTCCGACATATGTTCCACAAAAGGAAAGCGCATGAATGGCCATGATTTAAGGCCTCCAGTCCCTGCCACCACTTTCCCAGCTGCTGTGAGGTTGAGTATGGCATTAGCAGCATGTAATCAGCAATCAGCAATGAGCCTGCATGAAATTGGAGGTGGGGCCACCAAGGTAGGTTTTCAGCATCAGCTGATTGGTGCTCATCCCCTGAGTGCTCCACAGAGTTTGTGAAGCGGCTCCGGTACTGCGAATACCTGGGCAAGTATTTCTGCGACTGCTGCCACTCCTATGCGGAGTCCTGCATCCCTGCTCGGATCCTGACCATGTGGGACTTCAGGAAGTACTACGTCAGCAATTTCTCCAAATGGCTGCTGGATAGTATATGGCACCAGCCCATTTTCAATTTGCTGAACATCAGCCACAGCCGGTATGCGAAGGCCAAGGAGCTGGACAGAGTGAAGGTGAGCAGCAACCTTTTGGGGGAAGCCAGGCCAGAGGCTGAAAGGGTCCTGCTGCCGCAAATATACACTACGCCGTCACGGGGGACCCAATTCAGACAGACGCTCTGCGGGGCGGGTTTACTGTTGTCCAGTGGATGGAGTTTATGCCTCAGGGCCCCTCGCCTGCACTGGCTCTTGCAAAGGCACCATGTCAAATTTTATATTTATGCATAGTTTTGCATCTACACATAGCTTTTAAATTTTATTACTTTTAAATAAAATTGTATATGTTTGAGTGAACAACATGACTTGTTACACATAGTAAAATGATTACTACTCAACATATCCATCTCCTCACACAGTTACCTTTATGTATTTGTGTGTGTGTGTGTGTGTGTGTGTGTGTGTGTGTGTGTGTGTGGTGAGAGCACCTGGAATCTACTGTTAACAAATTTCCAATATTCAATACAGTATTGTTAACTATAGTCATCATGCTGTACTTTAGACCTCTAGACGTATTCATTCTACATAACTGCAACTCTGTGCCCCTTAACCAACAGGTCCCATTTCCTCTACCTCCTTGTCCCCGAGAACCAGCATTCTACTCTCTGCTTCTATGTACTTAGCATTTTTAGATTCCACATACAAGTGAGAACATGCCTTTTTATTTTATGTCTGGCTTAATGTCTTCCAGGTTCATCATGTTGTTGCAAGCGACAGGATCTCTTTCTTTTATACATAGTTGCATATTTTTCTTAAAGAAAGCCAATGTTATGTAAACTTCAGGATCCACAAAAACTAGGTCCATCCTGAACCCTCTGCAAGTTTCAGGACTCAGTCTTGAACTCTTGCTGTATAGACTTTACTTCAAAAGCTTGTTTTATAGTGTTGTAGCATTTCAAGGTTAGAAATAACATTTAAATTTGACATACATTTCCGGTGTTATTTATTACATTATGAGTATCCCATTTTGTTTCTGACTTTAGGAAATCCAGGAGCAGCTATTTCACATCAAGAAGCTATTGAAGACCTGCAGATTTGCTGAAAGGTACCACTGTTGGCTGGGACGGTCTGGGCATGTGAGTTAGGAGGATAATAACCTGCACACATTTGCTAACCCTCTGTGTGCCTCCTGGCTTGGCCCCTCCAATACACAGGGCCTCTCCGTATTCCTTCAGTATTGGGAGGGGGATTGGTTCCAGAAACACTAGGATATCAAGTGCTCAATACTCTTTTATAAAATGGCACTAGAGGCCCGGTGCACAAAATTTGTGCACTGGGGGGTGGGGTCCCTCAGCCCAGCCTGCCCCTCTCACAGTCCAGGAGCCCTCAGTGGATGTCCTACTGATGGCCACAGTCTGGCAGCAGAGGCTTGGAGCAGGCGCCCCGTGTGTGTGTGTGTGTGTGTGTGTGTGTGTGTGTGTGTCTGTCTGTCTGCTAGGGCCTGCCCCCAGCCGCGCCACATAGGCTCGAAGCAGTTGCTGTGTGTGTGTGTGTGTGTGTGTGTCCCCACTGGGGGTCTGCCCCCAGCCACATTGGAGGCTCAGAGCAGGCACTGTGTGTGTGTGTGTGTGTGTGTGTGTGTGTGTCTTCTGGGGGCATGCCCCCAGCCACACCATGGAGGCTTGGAACAGGAGCCCCTCTGTGTTGATCTCTCAGGCTCCTGGCCTCCACTGCATGTTGTACTCTCCCTTGAGCTATGGCCAGGATAGGGGTGCTGCTTGCAAGCCGGGTTTTCTCGCTCCCGGATCGCCATGGCGACCGGGGAGCAGGCCCAGCTGGGGGCTGCCCGCAGGCCGGGCTTTCCTGCTCCCATATCAGGCCCAGCTTGGGGCTGCCCACAGGCCAGGCTTGCTTTCCTGCTCCCGGATCCTCATGGCGACTGGGGAGAAGGCGCATCTGGGGGCTGCCCGCAGGCTGGGCTTGCTTTCCTGCTCCCAGATCAGGCCCAGTTGGGGGCTGCCCTCAGGCCGGGCTTGCTTTCCTGCTCCTGGATCAGGCGCAGCTGGGGGCTGCCTACAGGCTGCACATTTTTATTTACTGATGGCTGGATCACCACAGCAACCCAGGGCCCAGCGGCACTTTCCTGCTCTCCAATAGTCATAGGGTGCAGGGCTTAGCAATGCGGGGCTTAGGCAGCACGGGGGTCCCGGCTGGGGGCTCAGGTGGCACACAGGGGTCCTGGCTGGGGGCGGGGCTTATGCCTCGCTGCCAGGGCTGCACATGGGGCCCGGATGGCAGCTCGCGCTGTCCTGCCCTGCCTGTAGTATAGGATAGAGGTCTGGTGCATGGGTGGGGGCTGGCTGGTTTGCCCTGAAAGTGTCCCGGATCAGGGTGGGGGTCCCGCTTGGGTGCCTGGCCAGCCTGGATGACGGGCTGAAGGCTGTTTGCAGCTGGTCACACCCCCTTCAGGGTGGGGGTCCCCACTGGGGTGCCTGGCCAGTCTGGGTGAGGGCCTGAGAGTCATTTTCAGGCTGGAGGGCAACTTAAGCTCCCAGCCTCTCCTTTTTTTTCTTTTTTCTTTTATTCTGGGACTTATTTACCTTCTATAGCTGTCACTGGAGCTGAGAGCCAGCTCCAGCTCTGAGGGCTGAAAGCAGGTTTCTAGGTTTGTTTGGCTTCTATAATTGAAACTCTGTTGCCATCACTGCAGCTCTAAGCTCTGAGGCCAAAGCTGGCTGAAAGCAGGTCTCTGGAGCTTGTTTAGCTTTTATAATTGCAACATAGTTGCTTAGAGTGCAGCTCAGAGGCCGGCAGCGACAGGCCGGGAACGTTGGCTTCCTCCGTCACTGGAGCAAGCAAGCCTCCTGTTTGCTTCAGCTGTGTGGCTGCCGGCCGCCATCTTGGTTGGCAGTTAATTTGCATATCCTGCTGATTAGCCAATGGGAAGGGTGTCATGGTTATGGTCAATTTGCATGTTTCTCTTTTATTAGAGAGGACTAGAGGCCCGGTGCACAAAAATTTGTGCACTCGGGGGGGAAGGGGAGGTCCCTCAGCCCGGCCTGTGCCCTCTCGCAGTCTGGGACCCCTCAGGGGCTGACCACCTGCTGGCTTAGGCCCGCTCCCCAGGGGATTGGGCCTAAGATGGCAATCAGACATCCCTCTGGAAGCCCGGCAGCCCTCGGGGGATGCCCACTTGCCAGGAGGGAGCAGACCTAAGCTACAGTTGGACATCCTTAGTGCTGCTGAAGAGGCAGGAGAGGCTCCCACCACCACTGCTGTACTGGCAGCCATCATCCTGGCTTGTGGCTGAGCAGAGCTCCTCCCATGTGAGAGCGCACTGACCACCAGGGGGAAGCCCCTGAATTTAGCGTCTGTCCCCTGGTGGTCAGTGTGTGTCATAGTGACCAGTCATTCCCAGTTGTTCTGCTGTTAGGATCAGTTTGCATATTACCTTTTATTATATAGGATAGAGGCCTGGTGCACGGGTAGGGGCCGGCTGGTTTGCCCTGAAGGGTGTCCCGGATCAGGGTGGGGGTCCCCACTGGGGTGCCTGGCCAGCCTGGATGAGGAGATGACGGCTGTTTGCAGCTGGTCACACCCCCTTCAAGGTGGGCGTCCCCCCTGGGGTGCCTGGCCAGTCTGGGTGAGGGGATCATGGCTGTTTTCAGCTGGTCACACCCCCTTCAGGGTGGGGGTCCCCACTGGGGTGCCTGGCCAGTCTGGGTGAGGAGCTGAGGGCCGTTTTCAGGCTGGTGGGTGACTGAAGCTCCCAACCTCTCCTTTTTTTCTTTTTTTTTTAATTCTGGGATTTATTTACCTTCTATGGCTGTTTCTGGAACTGAGAGCCAGCTTTAGCTCTGAGGCTTGGCTCCAGCTCTGAGACCTCAGCTGCTGAAAGCAGGTATCTGGGTTTGTTTGGGTTCTATAATTGTAATGCTCTTGCGGTCCTGCTAGCTCCAGCTCTGACGGCTGAAAGCAGGTTTCTGGGGTTTATTTACCTTCTATAATTGCAACATTATTTCTTAGACTGCAGCTCAGAGGCTGGCAGCGGCAGGCAGGGAATGTTGGCTTCCTCCGTCACTGGAGCAAGCAAGCCTCCTGTTTACTTCAGCTGCCTGGCTTCTGGCCACCATCTTAGCTGGCAGTTAATTTGCATATCTCGCTGATTAGCCTATGGGAAGGGTAGCGAAGTTACGGTTAATTACCATGTTTCTCTATTATTAGATAGGATAATATTTGCATATAACCTATATTTGTATATAGGCTACAGCAGGCTATGCTTATACATCATGTCATTCACATGGACTCAGCGTAGTTCTTGTTGCATGGTCACTTCAAGTTTGGAACTTTCTGATATATATTTTTTCTGAATATTCTTTTTATCTGTGTTTGGTTGAATCCTTGGATGCTAAACCTAACCCACAGATACAGAGGGCTGACTGTAATTACCTCATGTCTCTCCTTGGGAATGTAAACCTTTTTAGAGTTATTAAACCTTCTAGCTCAGTATTAGTGAATTTACTTTTTTAAGAAGAATGGGTCAGGGTGAGACAACTCTAGCCAGTGGACTTTTTATTATTTTTAAATTGTGGTAAAATAAACATAACATGAAATTTTTCCATCATACAGTAACCACTTTTTAAGTATACAGTTCAGGGAGTTAAGTACATTCACATTGTTGTACAACCATCACCAATATCCATCTCCAGAACTCTTTTCATCTTGCAAAACTGAAATTCTGTGTCCATTAAACAATAACTCCCCAGTTACCCTTCCCCTCAAGTCTCTGGCAATAACCATTCTACTTTATGTACCTATGAATTTGACTACTTAAGTACCATATATAAGTGGAATCATACAGGATTTTGTGACTGGCTTATTTTACTTACCATGATGTCCTCAAGCTTTGTCTAAGTTATAGCATGTAGCAGAATACCCTTCCTTTTTAAGGCTAAATGTATGTATATACCACATTTGTTCGTCCATTCATCCATCTCAGGTTGCTTTCAACTTTTGTGAATAGTGTTTCTGTGAGCATGGGTGTACTAATGGCTTTTTAAAAAAACCCTGAATGCTATGTCAAACTTTTATTGGGTATAATAGTGTTCTTGAGTATGATCTGGGATAAATTTAAGTATTTTCCTATTAATGGTAGATTTTTAGCCAAACAGATTTTAAATATCTTAATATTACATAAAATAGATTTAAATATCTTTATAGATATTAAACCTAATAGAGTTACAATATTTAATAGATATTTAAATATATTTCTTATATCTTTTGTTATTTAAAAAACTAATTACTTAGCATAATACCCTCTAGGTCCATCCATGTTTTCACAAATGGTAAGATTCCATTCTTTTTATGGCTAAGTAATATTCCATTGTATATATATACCACATCTTCTCTATCCAGTTGTCTATTGATGGACACTTGGGTTGCTTTCATAGCGTGGCTATTGCAAATAGTGCTGCAGTGAACATAGGGATTCATATGTCTTTTCAAATTAGTGGTTTGGATTTCTTCAGATAAATACCCAGAAGTGGGATTGCTGGGTCATATGGAAGTTTTATTTTTAATTTTTTGAGGAACATTCATACTGTGAAATAAGTCAGTCAGAGAAAAACAAAGACCATATAATTTTACTTATATGTGGAATCTAAAATACAAAATAAACAAATAAACTAGACTTATCAGGGGATAAATAACTATGCTATACACCTGAAACTAATATAGTATTGAATGTCACTGTAATTGAAAAATAAATTGTCATTTTAAAGAAACCTAAGTTTTAGCTGAATCTCTGCCCACATCCATAGGTATGTCCTTGGGATAAACTTCTCAAAATGAAATTTCTGGAAGCTACGGCCATAGAGGTATAGGCATGAATTTTTTGACAGAGATAGAGATTTTTAAGTGGAAAAAGAGTATGTTAAAGAGTTAAGATGATTGTAATAGGATCATAGGATTAGAGATATATCTTTTTGTTTTGTTTTAAAGCTTCTTTCAGTTTTTTTAAAAATAATTAAATCTTTATTGTTCAGATTATTATAGTTGTTTCTCTTTTTTCCGCCCATAGCTCCCCTCCACCCGGTTCGCACTGCCCTCTGCCCCCCCCCCACTGTCCTCATCCATAGGTGCACGATTTTTGTCCAGTCTTTTCCCACATCCCCCCCACCCCTTTGCCCCCTAAGAATAGTTAGTCCACTCTCTTTCTATGCCCCTGATTCTATTATAATCACCAGTTTATTCTGTTCATCAGATTATTTATTCACTTGATTTTTAGATTCACTTGTTGATAGATGTGTATTTGTTGTTCGTAATTTGTATCTTTACCTTCTTCTTCCTCCTCTTCTTAAAGAATACCTTTCAGCATTTCATATAATACTGGTTTGGTGGTGATGAACTCCTTTAGCTTTTTCTTATCTGTGAAGCTCTTTATCTGACCTTCAATTCTGAATGATAGCTTTGCTGGATAAAGTAATCTTGGTTGTAGGTTCTTGGCATTCATCACTTTGAATATTTCTTGCCACTCCCTTCTGGCCTGCAAAGTTTCTGTTGAGAAATCAGCTGACAGTCGTATGGGTATTCCCTTGTAGGTAACTGACTGTCTTTCTCTTGCTGCTTTTAAGATTCTCTCTTTGTCTTTTGCTCTTGGCATTTTAATTATGTCTTGGTGTGGTCCTCTTTGGATTCCTTTTGTTTGGGGTTCTCTGCGCTTCCTGGACTTGTAAGTCTATTTCTTTCACCAGGTAGGGGAAGTTTTCTGTCGTTATTCCTTCAAATAGGTTTTCAATATCTTGCTCTCTCTCTTCTTCTGGCACCCCTATAATTCTGATGTTGGTACACTTGAAGCTGTCCCAGAGGCTCCTTACACTACCTTCGTATTTTTGGGTTCTTTTTTTCATTTTGCTTTTCCAGTTGGGTGTTTTTTACTTCTTCGTATTTCAAATCTTTGGCCTGATTCTTGCGATCCTCTAGACTGCTGTTGGAACTCTGCATAATATCCTTTATTTCAGTTATTGTATGCTTAATTTCTAGTTGGTCCTTTTTCATACCCTCGATGGTCTCACTAGATTTCTTGAGGATCTCACTACATTTATCGGCGGTCTCACCTGTCTTTTTGAGGGTCTTACTAAATTTGTTGGCGGTTTCTAGAAAGTTCTTGAAAAACCTTAAAAGTGTGGTTTTGAACTCTATATCCAGTCATTTGCTTTCCTCCATTTCTGTCATTTGTGTCCTGTTTCTTTGTCTCCGCATTTTGGTTGCTTCCCTGTGTTGATAGAGTGGCTTTCTGTGTTAGATGTCCTACAGGGCCCAGTGGCTCAGCCTCCCCAATTACCTGAGGTGGACACTCTTGGTGCACCCCTTTGTGGGCTTTGTGCACACTCTTGTTGTAGTTAAGCCTTGATTGTTGTAGGCATCACTGGGAAGAATTGACCTCTAGGCCAATTGGCTGCGAGAATCAGCTGTGTCTGCAGTGGGAGAACTTCTGTGCTGGAGATACCCCTCCAGGGCAAGACTTGTTTCAGCGGGGCTTTGGTGCTCACTGAGTCTGCCCCCTGAATGTGTCCTTTATGGATCCGAGGAGCTGCAATCTGGATGGTTCCCCTCTGACCACTGGGCACACTGGCTCCTGGATCTCTAAGGAGGTGCTAATCTAACCTTTGCCTGAGGCTATCCAGCAGGAGCCAGGTGTGAAGCAATGCAAGTTGGCTGGGGCCTTGGGCCAGCTGCAATTTGTTAGGTAATTTTCAAATTGCAAAAGGCCAGGCCTTTCATATGCAAAAGCCTCCGTGTGTGGCTTTCAGCTTGGGTGGGGTGGGGTCCCAGGGGATCAACAGGGCAGAGCAAGCAGCTACGGCTGCCCTCAGAGGCCCCACTTCTCAGTGTCCCGGCAATCGCTGCAAGCACCTCTGAGAGAAAGCCGCCCTGGAGTTCCGACTGATGCCAGACAGTCCAGTTTCTCCCGTATGAGTCTGGGTCCCCAGAGACTCACCCGGAACTGGAGCTCAGAGCTTGAGACTCCCTCCCGATTCAAAAAGACAACTGTGTCCTCAGCCACCAGCCCTCTCCGCATGCGCCTCTGTACCTCTGTACTTCTGCACCACATCTCCTTTGAGTCTCGGTATGCTTTTCTCTTTCCTTCTAGTTGTAGAATTTCCACTCAGCCAGCCTTCCTGTGGTTTTGGATGATGTCCGTTCCGTCTTTTAGTTCTATTCTTGAAGTGGTTGTGCTAGGCAGCAATCTCCTGTGTTTACCTATGCCGCCATCTTAGTTTTTCTCTCGCTTCTTTCAGTTTTTAATCTTTACTTAATGATGATGTATTGCTTTTGAATTAAATTTCTTGGGGAGGAGCATGTCTTTAGTAGTCATTTAGGTTTTAGCTTTACCTCATGGCATTGCTGTGACAGGTTAATTATGCCTCAGACCCTCAGTTTTCTTGTATGTAGCATGTAACAATACCCACAATTCTTACCATCTACAACAATTTCTTGAATATCCATTCTGTGCTTCAGATGAACAAATCAACAGGACTCATGTTAAGTCCAGGGAGGGAATCAGCACAATAGTCCATTGCTGGATTTTGTCTTAGGCACATATGTACAGAGCCCTGAGAATGCGGAGGAGCATTTTGTTTGTAAGGGAAGGGAGCAGACAAGGCTTCCAGAGATAAAGCCTGAGCTGGAAGTGGAAGCAGGCTAAGGGAGTCCCCAGGCTGGATGGAGAATTAAATATGGTTTGGCTCCAGGGTACGCAGTGGCTGCCTTGGGAATGCAGTGTGTGGTGATGCTTCTCATCACTGATTTAGGGAATTTAGGAGGAGGCCCAGAGGGTTTGGAGAAGGTTTTGTTCAGTTTGGAATGCCCTTGGTGCATCCAAGTGCCTGTGACCAGCTCACAGATGGATAGTTTTCAGCTCAGTTTGGAACTCAAGGATTTGGGAGTTATATGCCTGAGCAGTTATTTCTCTGCCATCTGGGGCAGCTGTCAGTGACAGACTTGAAATTGAGCTGGAATCAGTAAGATAGTGAGTTTTATCCCAGTACACAGTTTTAAGACTTGAAATAACATTCAATTTTCTTTTGCTTGGTCAGTCTGCAAGAAGCACATTTCTCTGCTGGTTCAGTTTTTTTGAAATCAGTATGGTATTTTACCTTGGCTTCCAAGTGAACTTGCAAAATCTAATGTGTTGAATGAGGAAGGTTAACTTGTTCTTGGGGCTCTTGTAAAAAAATGAGTTAAAAAGTAATTGTGAATGCCAGGAGAAAACAATTACCTGCTCACCCCTTTCCCTCTTCTCCCCCAGCCTGTGTGGGTGGGTTCTTGAATCCTCTTTGTTTTCTCTCTGGCAGTGCATTGAAAGAGTTTGAGCAGGTGCCCAGACATTTGACCGATGAGCTCTACCTGTTCTCCCTGGAGGACCTGGTCAGGGTCAAGAAAGGGCTGCTGGCGCCCTCACTCAAGGACATTCTGCACGCTTCCCTTGCCCACGTGGCCGGCTGTGAGGTGAGGTTCACAGGGGGCAGGTGTGTCCCTGAGCTGTCTCTGGTGCATCAGGGCCTGTGCTAGGTGTTCTACACTTTATATCATTTAACTTTTACAAATCCTGAAGAAAGTGCTGGTAATACTCTTTCCAGATGGGAAAAATAAGGTTCACAGCTGTTAAAAGAGTCTAGGTCAGTGGTTCTCAACCTTCCTAATGCTTCGACCCTTTAATACAGTTCCTCATGTTGTGGTGACCCCCAACCATAAAATTATTTTTGTTGCTACTTCATAACTGTAATTTTGCTGTTATGAATCGTAATGTAAATATCTGATATGCAGGATGTATTTTCATTGTTACAAATTGAACATAATAAAAGCATAGTGATTAGTCACAAAAACAATATGTAATTATATATGTGTTTTCCGATGTTCTTAGGCGACCCCTGTGAAAGGGTTGTTAGACCCCCAAAGTGGTCGTGACCCACAGGTTGAGAACCATTGGTCTAAGTAATCCTGTAGTAAGTATCAGGGCTGGGATGCAAGCCTGGGCCAAGAGGCTTCTTAGTCTGTGCTCCCAGCCCTGCTTTGGGTCTGCCTGGACTCCCATCTGTCCCATCTGTGCCAAATACAGCAATGTCAACTCAGGATCCAGTGGAGCAGGAGCTCTTTGTCTATAGGGACTGGAGAATTGCAGTGCAGCTATCAGAAACAAAATTAGATAATTTAAGGGTCCATGTTTAAAATCATGATCTTGCTCTGGTGCCTTAATCCAACTCAATGTGATGTTTCTCCATGCAAAATGAATGCACATTTATTGTTCTCATCCGCTCATTGCAGCAGAATATAACATCTTGTTCCTTCCAGAGTCTGGAATTGTAGACATTTAAAAATGGCTACTTATCAAATACTGTAAAAGTAGTGACTAAGATTCTCCATCGAAAGAGACATTACCAATGAAGATTTTAACTTTTTGACTCTTACAGCTGTGTCAAGGAAAGGGCTTCATTTGTGAATTTTGCCGGAGTACAGCTGTCATCTTCCCATTTCAGATCACAACGTGTAGAAGATGTTCAGGTATCTTAATAAATGAATAACATAAGCTTATTAACGTAATAAGTGCAGAGTTAACATTAGTTTAATAACAAGCATGTTAACGTAAAAACCATTGAAACCTGTAAAGAATTTTTGTGAACTTATTTGAGCCAAACTGTTGACATATGCCGGGAAGCAGAACCTCAACGAATTGAAATAGTGCTCCGGAGATTGGCGGGTTACATTTGCATTTATACATTGCAATCAAAGGAAAGGGACATAGGTGGGTTACATGAAATCCATTGGTGACAGACTAGAGAGGCGGGAGAAAGCAAAGCTGGGTGGGAGGAGGGGAACCCCTGGGATTGGATAAAAAGTAAAATGATGGGCACATACTTAGGTAGGTGCAGGAACAATTAACATGATAAGGAATTTGTGGTATCTGTCCTGGCGCCCAGCACATTAGGTTGTGCCCCAAGGGGTCTGGAAAAAGGAAGTTACAAGTTACCTAGACATTTTAAAGGGTATGTTATTATAGATGCAAAAAGACAGATAGGCTCAGTTAAGGTAAATGTTGACCTTGTCAATGAAGATACAGGCCTAGGAGGTGACTACCCACCATAACTGCTTTTAGTGAAAGTTTAATTTCAGACCATCTTTTGTGGTTACTTTAAGTCTCTGAGTGTGTAAGACTGCCATGCAGGCCTCCCCTGAGCTTGTCAGGTTAGCTTGTGGCCCCTTTCATCCACAAGCACAAAATTAGCTTAAGCTTGCCCTGGCTGGTTTGGCTCAGCGGACAGAGCATCAGACTTCCGACTGAAGGATCCCAGGTTCGATTCTGCTCAAGGGCATGTGCCCGGGCTGTGGGCTCAATCCCCACTAGGGAGTGTGATTCTCTCTCATTGTTGACATTTCTATCTCTCTCTACCTCTCCCTTCCTCTCTAAAATCAATAAGATATATATTTTTTAAAATTAGCTTAAGTTTAATAATAGCTAAATAACATTTCTTTAAATTATAATGGTGCTGGTGTGTGCTATATGTTGAATTGGAGCTAGTAAAGTTTTGGGTGCACAGGAAGGAGTATTTGGTTGCAGCAGGGATAAAGGGTGATGTCTCCTAGTACAGGGTTTGAAGACAGGAAGTTTCGCCTGTGCCCAATTCTTCTATACCAGGGTAAGCTACAGCACCACATTTTGTAGTTGGATCGTGGTCATGCCAAACACTGAAGTGTTACCTCTGGCTTCATTTGCACTACGATGGCAGAGTTGAAAAGTTGTTATGGAGACCATATGGCCCACCGGACCTAAAACATTTACTATCTACCTGTTTACAGAAAAGGTTTGGAGATCCTTGTTCTACTCTATTAGTGCCCCAGGAAATACTGTGTTCTCTAAACTGTTTCATGGGAGAGATGTGGTAAGAAATCTGCTTCGCCCTTGATATGAGCATGTCCTCCTCTTAGACCACTCAAGTGTTGTTTCCCTGACTCATTAGGCAGTGTTCTCTGCAGAGAAACTCTGAGGCAGGGATTTGCATGTAGGAAGTTCACTGTGGCACATTCTTAGGCTCAACACCCATGGGGGTGAAGACAGCAGGATTGGGTAGAGGGAGAAGCTGAGCTGTGATGTGGATGCAGTGAAGCTCAGCACATCTCACAGGGAGCTCTGAAGCAGGAATGGCCTTCAGCATTGTTTCAAATTGAGGAAAAGGGGCCAGCCAAGTCTTTAAAACCCACATTGACCAGTCAATCACCCAACAGGATGGTGCTAAAAAGGGGACATGATCTTGAGCAAGGCAGCTCTCTCCCATTAGGGCCATTTCCAGGGAAGGGACACCACCTCCTGAGCCATTGGCTAACAGTATTATCAGCAGCTGGGGGAATGTCCCTTGGGCAGATCTGGGGGGCACGGCAGCATCCACTCATCAGGCCCTCAGAGGTCAATGTTCATGACCTGTTGGAGACTTTATAATCCCTCTGAGTTTCAATCTGCCTGATTTCTTTTTAGAAGAATCTGGTTTCTGGACTCAGATCCTTTCTCTCCTGAGGATGAGTGTACATATGTGAGAAAACAAAATAGCCCCTTTGCTTATGGCTGTCCTTCTTGCTTGCAGAGTGCAGAGCTTGCTTTCACAAGCAGTGCTTCCAGTCCTCTGAGTGCCCCCGGTGTGCAAGGATCACAGCTAGGAGAAGACTTTTGAAAAGTTTTCCCTCTGCAGCGACATGATGCCCAAGTACTGTGAAAAAGACTGTTTAACACGCCTCCTCACAACACCAATTTGTATCTATTATTGATAACATTATTTTAGATATTGAGTATTATATATTAAGAAGAAAAATGGTCACTATTCTCTTTATTATATCTTTAGTATTTTAAAACAATGCAGATTTGTTGTCATTAAGTGAAGGGTTGTTACTGGCAGTTTTGTTTACAAGTAAATACTGCTACTGTTTATTCTAAGAGGTTTTTTTATACTAATAATGTCTTTGAATAGTTGTATTTTACTAATTTTGGAGCTTATTTTTTTATGAATTTTAACTGACAGGATGAATTACTCCATTCTTCCTGCAAAGCTGTTTGTGAAGTGGATTGGTACTTTCACTGATTAAAAATACAAACAAAAATCTCTTTGCTCAGGCTTTATTTTTGGCTTAAATGCCATTTTGTATTGTATCAGTCTTACAAACTTTATTTCAGGGTTTACATAGAGAGTACACATTACTTGTGCAGTTACATCTATTTCAAAATGAGTTTGAGTTGCTTAACTGCCTGTGTAGATGCTGTTTGAATCATTTGCCTCTAGATGGCTCTCCTTCAGATGGCTCAAATCAAAAGCTGTTTTTGTCATCTCTGTTCAACACACTCAGTCAAGGGATGCATGGATGAGTAGAACCTTATCCCTGCCCTTTAGGATGTTGTCTCATAGGTATAAAATTGAGCATAAGATATTTGAAGATGTAAATAAGGTGTGGGAAAATATTGCTACTAACAATGTGATAAAGCAGTACAAGTTGTTCCCTAACTCCATCCAGTCCTGTGTGTGTGTGTGTGTGTGTGTGTGTGTGTGTGTGTGTGTGTTATTCAGTTGGATAATATTGAGCACATGAAAGAAATTAGTATCTCCTATCAATGTGGTGTTTTCTTATCCTGTCACTTGTTTTCCCATCCTGATACTTCTGCCAGATCTCTGCTCCCATTTATTATTTAAGCCATGTCTCTTTTAAAAATAAATATTGACACACGGGATAAGATAAATAAAAAACTAAAAAATATTTTATTCTTACCCAGAGCTTATATTCTATGTTAGGAATCAAGGGTCAGAGTGGAATGCTGACATTCCTTATAACAGCTCTATGAGGTTCATGTCAATATCTCCATTTTGCAATAAGGAAACTGAGGCTTCAAAAAGAGAAATAATGCACTAGGGCCCTATGAGTAGTGCATGGTAGAGGTGGGATTGGCATTTTACTTGACCTGCCTCCAGAGCCGTGTTCCTACTCCCTACTTCTGTGGTATCCTTTTGAGGTAATATGAGCAAAAACAACTTTAACTTGTAAGTTTTGCTCCAATCTCAGCGAGTGGCATTTGGCTGAGTGGTTTCTCACATTGCCTTGCACTGATTTGAGGACGTTGCTGTGACTCATGCTTTGCTTGAAGGTCTCTGCGTTCTGGTGCTGTGTCTATGAAGCACTGATGAGTGTGTGTATGGCACAACTTTGATGTTGAGGAAGAGTGCACAGCACCTCTCAGGAAGTGATGCTTTTGATTTCTTTATTTTGAGCAAGAATGAATCAATTTAAATAACCATTCTATGGATTTGGCTGAGACAGATTCTTCCCCATCATGGTCATAAAGGCTCCTTCCCAGTACGGTGCCTGTTTGAACAGAAAAGTGGCTTCAGCCCGCATGCAGCACGCTGTAGGGAAGTAATTAGGTGTGACATATATTGCTCTTTAATGGCATTTACTCCTTACACTGTTTTTTCATGCAACTTTTGTTTGGCTGCCAGAAAGAAGATGAAGATTTGGTCTTTCTCATCAGACTGTCACCCACTGTGAGGCATTGAGTTGCAGTGCTGTGATTCCAGTGATTCATTTTATGCCTTTACACGGTTCACTTAGGAAATTCCAGTAACTTGCTCTTTATAGCCATGACTCTCAGCTGCAGGTAGGGAGTTATATCAGGGGAGAGTATAAAGGGAGTGAGGGGGGTGAGGTATCCCAAAGATGTTCTGGTATGTTGAATTGGGTGAGAATTATTGGATTGATTCTCAGATCTGCTACTTCCTACCTATGTAACTCTGGGCAAGCTACTTAAATAATATGCATCTCTGCTTATAAAATTTGGGATAATAACTATATGCAGGATTAGAAATGAAAAAGAAGCACCCAGTAGCAGGCCTAGTATAAGCAGGCATCTAATAATTGGTATAATTATGTCTAGGCAAATTAAAAACTGAGTTATGCCATCTATCCTATATCTTTGTATAAGTTACTCTCTGAGTCTCAATTTAACATGAAGGTGAGAACAATGGAATGATACTATTATGGGTTAATTGTGACCCCCCCCAAAAGAAATGTTGAAGTTATAACTTCAGGTACCTTAAGTGTGACCTTATTTGGAAATCGAGTGTTTAAAGATGAATTAAGTTAAGATGAGGTAATACAGCCATCAGCCCCTCACCCAAGCTGGCCAGGCACGCCTATATAATAAAAGGGTAATATGCAAATTGACCCTAACAGCAGAACAACTGGTAATGACTGGTCACTATGACACACACTGACCACCAGGGAGCAGATGCTCAATGCAGGAGCTGCCCCCTGGTGATCAGTGCACTCCCACAGGGGGAGCTCTGCTCAGCCACAAGCCAGGCTGACGCTGCCAGTACAGTGGTGGTGGTGGGACTCTCTCTCACCTCCTCAGCAGCGCTTAGACCTGCTCCCCGCTGGCAAGTGGACATCCCCCGAGGGCTCCCATGCTGCCAGAGGGATGTCTGACTGCCAGCTTAGGCCCAATCCCCCAGCGAGCGGACCTAAGCCAGCAGGTGGTCATCCCCCGAGGGGTCCCAGACTGCGAGGGGGCACAGGCCGGGCTGAGGAACCCCCACCCCGAGTGCACAAATTTTTGTGCACTGGGCCTCTAGTGTGTAATATAAAAGAATTATACAAATCAAGTCTGAATAAACTAATTCAACAAATTATATTTTTAAATCACAAGTTCCTGAAGAATCTTGTGGGAAATACATTGTCAGTCTTGATTCCCCTGTCTTATTCATCTCTATTGTATTGATCTATTTAGATTTTCAGTAAGGTCATCTTTAACATTTTCAGCCATCAAAAAATCCACAGACAAATCAATTCTGCTTAATCTATTTACTTAAGAGAACAGATTAGCATGTTTATTAGTTTTTAAATGTCAATAATTGATATATAAAAGGGCAGGGGTCACATCTATCTTATTGCTTCTGTAATCTCAGACCTAGAACCATGGCTAGTGCATAGTAAGTGCTCAATAAATTCTCATTTATTGAATGATTATTATTAACTGAGAAAGATCCTACCCTCCTCGAATTCTGACTCATCTGACTTTTACAAATGCACCAAAGTAACATTTCACATTTCTTATTTTAATACAGGTTTAGTTTCTGCCAATTAAACAAATAATTAGCCCTAGCTGGTTTGGCTAAGTGGATAGAACATTGGCCTGTGGACTGAAGGGTCCCAGGTTTGATTCTGGTCAAGGGCACATGCCCAGGTTGTGGGCTTGATCCCCAGTAAGGGGTGTGCAGGAGGCAGCCAATCAATAAGTCTCTGTCATCATTGATGCTTCTATCTCTCTCTCCCTTTCCCTTCCTCTCTGAAATCAATAAAAGTATATTTTTAAAAAACAATTTAAAAATTTAAGATTACAATAAATAAATCGCTAACCTGTCAATCTTCAGTCTGTCTGAGGACAAGGCTGGTTTCTCTTGACATCTGGATTGCCCACGTTTCCTGCTATAGAAAACTGCTCCTCCACAACCTTTCACAAACGTCATTCCCTGCCCAGTCAGTGATGCACTAGCCATAGCTTGTGGCATGCCATGCTTGTTTCCTGTCCTGTGCTGATTTGATCAGGAATGAGCACCTGACCTGAGGGAAAGCCATCCATTGGCTAGCCAGCAACCACTGGTACATTAAAATAAACTGGGCTAATCAAATGCTCTGTTTTGAAAATTTGAACTTAGAGAATGGAGAGATGGAGTCAGTTGGGAAGGTGGGAGAGGGGAGAGGGCAATGGGGGAAAAAGAGGACATATGTAATGTGCCGCGCCAGCACGGCCAACGATGAACCTGAGGAGGGGTGCTGAAGGATTGAAGAAAGGACAGACAAGAGAATACAGCTGGGGCTCAGTGGATCTCCTGTGCCTGGATGAGGACACAAAAGACCCAGCCTGCAAGCCAATGCTTTATTTTATAGTCTGATTGAAACAAGGTGTTATGGGTTGGTTCAACGAGATAGACCACCGACTCAGAATTTAAATTTAAGAGCCTTTATTAAGCTGGCCAGCTGACCACAGCCCCTATCTCCCCCTCTGGGAGATTCGGAGCATGTGGCAGAGATCCAGGGTGTAGTATGATCCTTTATAGCAAACAGTGTTACCTTAGAAGTTCACAGAAAGTTCAGAAGAACAAAGGGGGAGGGGGGGGACAGAGTCACACCTGGCTGGAGCGTATCATAACACATTGTTTTTCTAAGACAATCTAGCAATTTTTCTTCCATGGTTCCTAACCCTGCAATCCCTCTCCATACGTCAGTCCCCCCTCCCAGCACATACACAATCCTTCTCCATATCCTGACAACACAATCCTTCCTCATACATCCTCCTCCCTCCGAGCACATTCAGTAACATTCTGTAACCCTTCCATGCCACTGACCCTCACCCTAGCACAAAGGGTAGATTAACATGTATACAAATGTTCTTGTTTTGGCAACACTAGCTGCACCTCCCACAGCCCATTAACTACTTAGGAAGGAATTAGGGAGTCCTACAAGGTCAGGTTTAATTATGCTAGGAGAGCCCTCCAGGCCGGGACTTGTTTGTGGCCCTGCCACAGGTCAGTCCGAGGCTTGACCCTAGAGCCACTCCCTACAAAGTAATACTTTCAACAATAAAGTGTGTGTTTTTGTTTTTTTTAAAGGTGACACAGAGAAAGCAGGGGCCATAAAAAGCCATAGCCATATTCTAGCCAAAATTATAAAGAATAAAAAACTGAGTAGGTAGAGAAAGCTTGTTGGTAGTAGGACAAGAATAAAGAGATCCTCAGGGTATAAATAATTTATATTAAAATCAAAGCCATTAAGTGTGGGAATGCCAAGAGTGAAGGATGCCTATCTAGTCTGCTGCTCAGGCCCTCTCTTGTGGTAGGCAGAAGAATGAACCCATAAAGATGTTTCTGTCCTAATCCCTGGAACCTGTGAGTGACTATGTTACATGGTGTTATAGACTAGTAAGAAGCTAGGAAAATTCTAGGACAAGTGGAATAGGGAAACCTATTGAGACAGATAGTTAAACAGCAGTTTGCAGCCACCTAGTGAATCCTATCTTCCCTAAACCAAGGACACTTAAGAGTAAATGGTTTGCACTTTTCCTCCCCAAACAGAGGGTAAATAGCTTAAGTCACCCTATTCAGGGAGACAGATAACAAATCCAATTAAGTGCCATTTGTCAACCACACCCAAGGACAGACAAATTAAGAACATACATCTCATTTTGGTACACCCGCATAAAGCTGGTGAATATTCTATTGATCCATCCCTAAGACTTCTCCTAAACGCCCAGCCTTTAAAACCCCTGAAAATGAAGGTCTGAGCATACTCTCCCTCTAGGGAGCATGCCCTTGCAATTCCCATTCCCCCTCTCGCCGCAACCCCTCAGCACCTATCCCCTAACTGTTACGGATTCACTCAGCAAGATAGACCACCGACTCAGAATTTAAATTTAAGAGCCTTTATTAAGCTGGCCAGCTGATTACAGCTACAGCACCCTGCCGAAGCAAAGGCTGAACTGCAGTGCCAACTGCAAGAGTTACATTTTATTATTAAATTTTGTGGAGGCCCACAGAAAAATGTGCCTTTCAAATTCTGGGCCCCCAATATGGAGGAAACTCTCTTTATTTATACTTTTTCCAGTCCTTTGTCTCCCAAATCTGGAATGAGACTTCCGGGCCTTCTGAGAAAAGAAGGCCTGGGTGCTGGGAAGGGGCCATGAGACCATATCTCAAGGCCTGGCCTGATGTCAGTACCTTCCTATCTATGTGTTTTAGGAACAGACAGCACAGCATGACCCATCTGGCCAAAGCGCCAGTTATGCAGCCTAGCACACTAACGTCTAAAGGACCCCATGAGGCTTGCAACCAGGGAGCAATGGGCAGTAGCAGCTTATCCCAGGCTAACCCCCTGAAGCTGTCTTCTACTCTCTGACTTTTCAATAAGCCAAGGCAGCCCAACCTCAGTTCTCCTGTTGCTTCTTCTATGCCCATCCTTGTTTCACAGCCTTAAGTATATTTTTGCTGTGGTCAATAAATTCTTACTTTTCTAGACTTTGTCTCTTGATTAAAATCTTTCCCTCAAGAAAACAAGAACCGAGGTCTCATCATCTCCCTAGGAACAATGGTAATGGGAGAATTAAGGTTTCAGATGGAATTAAGGCTGCCAATCAGCTGAGCTTAGGGTGATTGTCCTGAACCATCCATTGTGATTATATTGGGTGGGCCCAGTGTAATCACAAGGTTCCTTATATAAGAGGGAGATAGAAGAGGAAGAATCAAAGATGGCAGTGTGAGGAAGACTGACATTGCTGGCTTTGAGGATGGAGGAATGACACCATGAGCCAAGGAAAGTAGGTGGCCTCTAGAGGTTGGAAAAGACAAGAAAATGTACTCTCCCCTTGGAATCTCCAGAAGGAACACAGCCTTGCTAACACCTTGATGTTAACCCATTTCAGACTTCAAACCTCCAGAACTGTAAGATAATGTTTGTGTTACTTTAAGCCACTGCTTTGTGTAATTTGTTACAGAAACTATAAGAAATAATTACACCTTTCGTCTGAACATTGTTCCTGCTGCCCTTGAGCAGTCTTTACATCACCTGTAGGGAGTTACAGCTTTTTGAAGGACACACCTCTGCTCTAACACAAATCTGCTAAAGCAGGAAGGCTGCTTCTTTTGAGACAGTAGCCTCTCTCCCCCGATTTCTCAATTTCTTTAGGTATGTTGGTTAGTGCTGAATAAAAATCAATGGTTTGCATTTGGGTGCAATCACGCTTGGAAATTTAATTTTATTCTACAATAGCTGGTAATCTGATTTTTCTTTGTCTCTTGCCTGATCATAGACTATTTAAAGCTGCAGTCTTTCCAGAAAGCACTGCCTTCTGACAATGTGTCAGATGCTATTTGCCAGGAAAGGGTTGAGAGAGAGGCAACAATGAGGTGTTTTGGCGCCTGGAAGTGGTGACAGACTGTTGGTTTGTGGTCTCTGCCCCTTGCAACACCCACCATCCTGTCTGATGCAACCTCTCTGATGCAGTGTGAAAGGCATTGTAGCAGGAGCGAGCTCCGGTTTGACCTACTTCCTCATACTTGAGCACAGGCATTTGATAGCTACATATTCATTAAGTAGCATAAAATTCTCA